CGCTATTGTCTTCAACCACGAACTCCAGACGACTTCGGAATCTCCTGCAACTCTTCTGGGCGGTCTTCTTGTTTAAATTGGTGAATTTTGCCATAATATTTGCCTTCAGTTCATCTTTGGTGTTAAAAATAGTTTTGTTGGTCTCTCACCCAACTGCGCCCCACACATAATAATCGAGTGGGTTGCAGTCTGCGGAGTTAGGTGGCCAGATGTAAGGGATGATGTGGTCGCAGTCAGGACTTGGTTTTCCTGCTCCAGTGTCATGATGCAGAGTTCTGTTGTCAGGCATAGTGTCTTCTAGCAGCCACCCTCTTGACCCAGGGCAGCACCACCTCCTCAAGGCACTTGACGTAGGCCTCCGTATTGAGTCTGAGGCTCCATGGGAAGATCACTGGAGGCATAACGTCACCATCACTAGTGATCACACCCCAAAAACCTTACTAATCACAATTAAACTCATCCAATTCTTTCCAAATCCTCTGTACTCTCGTCAGATTCACACCCCAAAACTCTGAAATGTTCATATTGGAGGCTACGGTGAGAATGCCAAGCAGCACAGCATGCCTTTTCCAAATTTCTGGCGGAGTGAAATGCGACAAGGTGCTCTTTTTCTCACAGCCAGTGCCCAATTGACCCTACTACAGTGCCGTTGACAAAATCAAAAACAAACAATGAGCATGCGCGAAATTGAAAATATAAAATGGCGACAATTTACTCATCGCACACGGTATATATATATATATATATATATATATATATATATATATATGTATGTATGTATATATATATATAGAGAGAGAGAGAGTCATTTTAATTTATTTGTAACAAACAGTTATTTCTGATGAAAGATTGAGGGCAATCTGAAATATCAAATATATATATAAATAAATAAATACTTTCATAAAATAAAACATTATTATTTTTTAATTTGCAGCTATTTCTATATATACATATTAAGAAAGTATACGTGGCTTCTCATTATGCTATATATATATATATATATATATATATATATATATATATATATATATATATATATATATATATATATATATATATATGGAGAGAGAGAAAAGACATTTTGAGTCGATTAATTTTACTAATCGATTTTTCCAAATTACGAATAATTATTCTCAGACAAAGAGGAAATACCTGATAATGACAAGAAAGTCAAAAGCTTGGAGCATATTTCTTGAACTTCGGAATTTTCTGACGGAATTTCCGCCTTGTCTGACAAGGATTATTCGTAATTTGGTAAAGACGATCAGTAAAATTAATCGACACAAAATTTATGTTGTCTTTAATAATACATCGCACACACACACGCACGCACACGAACACAGACACACGCACTCATATATATAAATATGTGGCGAGTTGTGTGTGGGTTTTAATATAAAGATTAGAAATTTACACATACTCACTCTCTCTCTCTCTCTCTCTCTCTCTCTCTCTCACACACACACAAACACACACACATACATGTATATATATATATATATATATATATATATATATATATATATATAGATAGATAGATAGTTAGATAGACCTAGTGAGCCAGACAAACCTACTTAGGTTTTACCTAAATGGACGATCCGTTTAGGTGTATCTAGGTCTGCTCTACGGTTGTATTGAGCTCTTTTGTTAGTTAGTTGTTACTCGTATCGGGGTTTTTTCCTTGGGCTTCAGACCTGCATCTGTGCGATTTTTTTGTCGGCAGAAGTTCATGTTTGTAGCTCTTTTCTTTTTTTAAAACCTTTTTTCCCTCGAGATTGATTTGATTATTAGCAAATCAAAATTCGAAGGTTTTTTCGAAACGAGTCTATATATATATATATATATATATATATATATATATATATATATATATATATATATATATATATATCAGGTACGTGCTGTCAGGGTAGGTAGCTTGTAACCTTTATGAAGTAAATCTATAAAAAAAAAATTAAATATTTTTTTATTTTATGCATAATAATCAGAGTAACTTTCATAATTTTTCTGGATTAGGTACATGTTGTGCCACAGAAGGAAAATGTAGCCGCTGATCTATTTTCTTTAGTATAGCCACTGCCTACCTAGACGTATATGTATGTAGAACACACTATCAATAAAATATGTGTTAATTCTGTCCCACAAATGTTAAGAGTCATGTTAATCACGTGACACTAAAATATATTCTACCACCATAGCATATGAGGTCATGTTTATTTCAAACCTTGGACCTTGACCAGCCAAAATACTCCACCGGCCCTCTCTCGACTTCTACTTTCTTAAATTGAAAATGGCCAACGGTGGTCAAACCTACTCAGAATATTACTCATAATTTCAGCAAGTTTCTATGTATTAAAGACATATTTTTATGTTTAACGTTGTTATTTTATAGATACAAGTATTTAAGCAAATGCTCTGTTTATGATAAACAGTATTAAATAACATTTACCGGCCTGAATGTCCGAGAAATTTTCATAGAAAATTTTCGTTCTTTGACAGGATTCGAACCTGCATCCAATACGGAACCGTCATATACGTTAACATGCCTTACCGCTTGAGCTACAAAGAACCAATCGGTAGACAAGGTCGAATTTACACTATAAATTATAAACTCCAACTTTCCATGAATCTCGTACATTCATAACTGCTCTGGCGTATCGAATGTAAACAAATGACGTCATATATTAAGAAATTTATAAGCAGTAAATTCGACCTTGTCTACCGATTGGTTCTTTGTAGCTCAAGCGGTAAGGCACGTCAGCGTATATGACGGTTCCGTATAGGATGCAGGTTCGAATTCTGTCAAAGAACGAAAATTTTCTATGAAAATTTCTCGGACATTCAGGCCGGTAAATGTTATTTAATACTGTTTATCATAAACAGAGCATTTGCTTAAATACTTGTATCTATAAAATAACAACGTTAAACATAAAAATATGTCTTTAATAAATAAATTGTCGGACCTTGTCCATTTCTTAATATAAGTTTCTATGTGTTCAACATCAAAGATCAACAGACGTTTCATGTCCTTTTATATACAGGTATGTGTGTATTTGTTAACAATATCTAGAGCTAATAAATAAGATCAAGGACAAACTGTAGATGTTAATAATTTTTCAAAATATTGCAAAATTCCTCAAAGTTTATACAAGATTTTTTTCCATGGTTGTTGCCAATATCTCAATACCAGTGATGTAGCCTAAACAGTATTTATAAGCAGCATGCGTAAATGTTCCATCTCGGGAAAAAATTACAGGTTGCGTCAAATGTAATGCCCTTCTTTATTTACTAACTTTTACTGAATAAAATTAAATTACGCTAGTTTAAGATGGCTTAAGATTATTTATGGCTCATGCGTTCGAGAATGGTGAAATTTTAATTTCGAACAGAAGTGGAAAGGACGATGTGGAAGAATTGAGTGGCCATCACGATCACCTGACCTAACACCACCAGACTATTTCTTGTGGAGTGAAAGATCTTGTTTACAGTTCATACCGAAACAATTTCTTAATTAAAACAAGTAATTTCTAATAGTTTTTTTCTGAAATAATGTAGAAATGTGTCATTTTTTTGTAGAAGTGTTGATGATAAGGTTCAGCATTGTACTGAATATGAAGAAGAGCATTTTGAACATGTTATAGTTTGTTACTCATAACAAATCATGTTTTGATGTATGTGACAATACTTCTGTAAACTACTGTAATTTATTTTTGTTCAATAAAAAGTTAAAAAAGGGCGTTACTTTTTCCGCATTACCAAACCGGGAAAATTGTGCTATTTGGAATATAACATAATAAGTCCCAATATATTTCGTCAAGTGCTGCAGTTCCAAACATTTAGAATATATCTCATCAGCTGAAACAGAACTTTCTCTTGGAATGTCTTGCCAGCCAGTTTCAAGCAAATTAAAATATATCTCATCAGCTGCAAAAGAGCTTTCTCTTGTAATATCTTGTTGGCCAGTTCTAAGCAGTTCAAATAGATCTGATCAACTGCTACAGAAGCTTCTTCTGTGACATCTAGCCAGTCAGTTCTTAAATTAAGTAACGGTTCGGCATCCGTCCGTCTCGGGAGACGATGTAGTAGCGCTTATTTTTTATTTTTTATTTTTTTAAATTCTAGGCGATTGAGTTACATTGCCTCTGATGACTCTGTAGTCCCACTCTGGAGCGGCAGTCTCTCAGGCACCTGGCGCAGATGAAAACTGGATGACACGGAGAGGGAGGCTGTCCTTGCTTTTCTACTGGCTCTCTTTGCTGCCTGCTGATCTTTCCTCGCGACTTCTGCAATCGTGACGCCGTCACTGACTGTGGCTCCCCAAAGCTGAAGATCGTCAGCTGTGGCCTCCCAGGTGTTGAGGTTGATGCCGGCCAGCTTCATCTCTCGTTTGCAGACATCCTTGAAGCGGAGCTGAGATCTTCCAGTTGCCCCCCCCCACACACACACACAGCTCTCCGTACAGGATTACTCTTGGGATGCAGCCGGCACCCATGCGGCGTACGTGCCCCAGCCATCTGAGACGTCTTTGGCAGAGCAGCGTGAACAGGCTGGGGATGCCGGCACGTTGAAAGACTAACACAGAGGTTAGTGACACAGTATTGCCATTTAATGTGCAGAAGACGCCTGAGGCAGCGGAGGTGAAAGGTGTTTAACCTCTTCTCCTAGCTGGCGTAAGTTGTCCCGGACTCGCTTCCTTACAGAAGGGTGCTGAGGATGCAGGCCTAGTAGACTTGTAGTTTGGTGTTCTCCGTCAGCTGGATGTTGTTCCAGACGTACCTGTTTAGCTTGGCCATGACTGCGGCGGCTTTTCCTATCCTGGAGCTGATCTTGTTGTCCAGGGAGAGGGAGCTGGAGATTATCAACCCGAGGTCGGTGAAGGAGGCCACCCCCTGAGGTGCGTGCCGTTTATGGCAACGTCCGGGGTCTTGTGCCAGTATTTTGGTCTTTTTGAGACCAATTTGTCAAGCCGAATTCCTTGCAGGCGTGGGCCAGGCGGCTGACTAATTCTTGCAGACCGTTCTCCGTGTGGGGCGTAAGCGCAGCGTCGTCGGCAAACAGCATCTCACGAATGAGGACCTCACGGACCTTGGTCTTAGCGCGCAGTCGGGCGATGTTGTAAAGTTTGCTGCTTCCTCTAGTGCGGATGTAGATGCCCACCGTGCAGTCGTAGAAGGCGTACTGGAGAAGCATGGAGAAGAAGAGGCGAGGCTCTGCAGGTGTGGTAAGACGATGCGGGCAAAGACCTTCCCGACGACGCTGAGGAGGGAAATGTCGCGGTAGTTATTGCAGTCGCTGCGGTCACCTTTATTCTTATAGAGAGTGACAATGTTGGCATCTCGCATGTGCCGGCGGACGTGGCCCTTCTCCCAGCGCAGGCAGAGGAGCCCGTGGAGATGCCGCAGCAGAGCTGTCTTGCCACCGATGGGATCCCGTCCCTCCCAGGGCCCTCCCGCAGGAGAGACAGTCGATGGCATTTCCGAGTTCTCCTGCAGAGGACGAGGCATCTAACTCCTCCATGACTGGGAGACTGGGCAAGGCATCCAGGGCGGCATCCGTCACCACGTTCTGGGTTGCTCCAGCTGCCTGCTCTGGTCTGTAATGACCTCTCCTGCCCTGCATTTCAGCGGAGCCGTTTTGACGGGAGTGGGGCCGGTGGGGATTTTGATGCCGGCGTACATGCCTATTGTATTTCCACTGTCTGGATTCTGCTGCACAGGTTCAGCCAGTAGTCGTTGGCGCAGCGGCGTGCAATCTGCTGGGCCTTGCTGCGATCAGCTCTGAGGGCATCACGGGTACTGACACAAGGGTTTTGCTTGTAGGCCAAAAGTGCTTGTCTCTTGGCTTCAGAGGCTGGTTGCATCTCATCCCAGCAAGCTTCGTACCAGTTCGCATATCGACGATCCTTCTTCCCGAACGCAGTAAGGGCTGAGGTGTATATGGCATCACGGAGGTGGTGCCATTTACTGTCGATGTCAGTGTCACCGAAGGAGGATGTGTCGACCTTCGCGCTAAAGGTGGTTTGGAAGCAGCGAGAACTCTCAGGGTCATTGGAGCGACAGGTGTTGATGCGAGGGAAGCCCTTGCTTTTGGAGCGGTGTATTCTCTTGGCTGTCAATCTCACTTTGCAGCCTACTAGGGAGTGGTCCGTGTCGCAGTCTGCGCTGTGGAAGCTTCGAGTGTGAAGAACGCTCCTTAGGTATGCACGCCTGGTGATGACAAGGTCGAGCTGGTGACAGTGTTGAGAACGGAGGTGTGTCCAAGAGACTTTGTGGCGTTTTTTGCACTTGAAGAAGGTGTTCGTCACGTACAGTCCGTGGTGGCAGCACAGTTCCAGCAGCCGCTGTCCATGCTTAATTTGTGCTTAAATTAAGCATAAGACAAACTAAACCAGTTCGGCAGCAAAACAGGAAAAACAAGTAAGACTACTCGAAGGATGTGTTAAACCAAATGAGTAAAGTTTGCTTTTTAAACGGAAATGCATTAAAATTAAACTGTAATTCTCTACAGAAAAGAAAGCGTAATATTAGGAAAAAATATAACAAAGGAAAAGTTTAGGATAAATGAAAAATTCAAATATAAGTTATTGATAAATAAATTCAACTCCAATCAAATGGGGTAAGTATATATGACTAAAAAGACAAGAGGAAAAACTATTCTTAGTCGACACTTTTCATATTCTAAGGGACTTTATCAAAACAAATGTAAGTATTTATTTTGTTGCGCGTTTTTATATACAAGAGCAAGGATGTCATTGGTTTATCAAGATTTTTAAATTTGAGAACGTTCATTAGGTGATTGCAAGGTCAGTCAAAACATATGGAGGACACAAAGTGCTATAATTCAAAGTCTGGTAAGACAAAAGTAAGCGAGTAATATTCAAGAATTTTTTTTTTAAATAAATGAAAATTGTTTAAATTGCGATCACATTGTCATAGTTTGGGATGAACGTATGTGCTGTACATCTTCAAAGATATGAGGTAATCGATTTAACCTTTTTTTCTTTTGATTTTTTTAACATTTTAGTGGCGTGTGTTTTGGCTTGGGAAAGTAGTAATTCTTTCAGGCTACCGATAACTTTTTCCCAGTTTCGTTATGGAATTACCTAATGCAGAGATAAGACTTCAAACCGATGGCTAATAGTAAAACTGGGTTTATAATATATGATATTACTAAAAATTAGCGTTACTAAAAATTATAAAACCATTTTATGACTGTTAGTCATATGTCTTAGCCGAGAAGTTTATAGCTTAATGACCTACCACAAAAATATCAGGAAGAAATCATTGCAGTTATCAGACAACAGTTTGATACGCAGTTTGATTTGCTGTTTACTTTTTCTTCTTCTTTGTGGTGCGTCCTTTCAGAACATAGACGATCATGGCTCTCCACGACTTCCTATCCCTTGTAACCGTAAATAGTTTTTCTCTTTACTAAGACTCCTGATCCGAGTTGAGCCATCCATTCATACACGCTAGATGTGGCTCATTACCTCCCCCTCTCCCTCTTGCCTTAATAGACCAAGAGAGATACGGGAAGGTTTTCCAAGCCGTCCTTCCTCATTTTGGGACCATGGAACTTCAGGTGCTTTTACCTGATTCTGAGTATGTATTCTTTTTATAGCCATTTTCTTTAAGATTTCATTATTGTATACTCGCTTGGTCTGTGGAATTCTCGGTATCTTTCTGTAGAACCGAATTTCTGCTGCTTTCAGTTTTCTCCACATCCGTGGGGAGATTGTCCAGCATTTGCTGCTATATAAGAGGATCGATATCACATAGCAATTCAGCACTATTTTCTTTGTATCTAACGTAATTTTCCCATTTCTCAGCAACTTTAGATTTTGGAATGCCTTTTTCGCAATTCCAATGCCTATTCCGATCTCGGTATCACATTTTTCATCATTTGTTAAAATACTTCTCAGATATTTCAAATTTTGCACCTACTTGATATCGGCATTTCCAATTTGGAACTTGCATCTTGGTCTTTTTTCATCTTCCTGATGACCATACTTTTTATCTTCTTGCTGGTTAGTTCTTTTTTCTCGCTTTCTTCTACTACCCTGTCTAGGAGGTCCTGTAGTTTTCTTTTCGAGCCGGCCATCAACACAGTGTTATCGGCGTAACTTATACTGTTAAGATTACACCCACCGATAATAAATCCGTGTAGGTTCTCCAGCGCGGTTAACTACACAACGCTAAAAATACTCAGAATACCAGACAGAGTTTCATAGTTGTCATTTGGTTTGGTTGAATTTGTTTAGCGGTATATCAACATCTCCTTGGATTAATGTCATGGGACATTAACGATAACTAAAGAATGAACTCTTCCTAACACTATGTTTACTACGCCTCTCAAGAGAGAGGATCGAATCGAGCCGAGCTTCTCGGCTTGACGGTTGAACTCTCTGCCTCTGAGCGGAGAGGAACCCGGACGAGGCTCGTTCGAGGAGGTTGACCAACCCGATTCTGTTTTTACAGTTTCTACGGGGATTTTTTGGCCGAGCCTTCGGGCTCGGGAAACCCACATAAAACTCGACTTTGCGCCACATGCAACCCTCGTGGGGGTCGGGGTGGGGCTAGATACCGAATCGAGCCGAGCTTTTCGGCTTGGCGGTCGAACTCTTTGCCTCTGAGCAGAGAGGAACCCGGATGAGGCTCCGCCGAAGGGCAGCGTCTCGTTCGGGGAGGTTGACCAACCCGATCCCGTTTATACGGGTTCTACGGGCATTTTTTGGCCGAGCCTACGGGATCGAGAAACCCACGTTAAACTCGGCCTTATGCCGCGTGCAACCCTCGCCGGGGGTGGATAGATAGCGAATCGAGCCGAGCTTCTCGGCTTGACGGTCGAACTCTATGCCTCTGAGCAGAGAGGAAGCCGGACGAGGCTCCGCCGAAAGGCAGAGTCTCGTTCGGGGAGGTTGACCAACCCGATTCTGTTTTTACAGTTTCTACAGGCATTTTTTGACCGAGCCTACTGAATCGGAAAACCCTCGTAAAACTCGGCTTTGTGTCACATCTTTCCCTCGTGCGGGGGGCGGGGGTGCAAGTAAATATCGAATCGAGTCGAGCCGATAGTAGTTCACTCCAAACCAGACTGACAGTCATACTAACGCATTCCACATCTTGTATTATTATTTCGTGTAATATACCTTCGTTATTTCTATTGTGCTCGTGTTGTTCTTCCTTGGTTCTAACCTGGACCATAACAATTATTTAATGCCGAAATCTAAATAATTTGAACGCAATTGTATGCCTTCAACTACAGATAAAATGCATTGCAGATCATTTTGCTTTAAAAATGTATTGTTGGTTATTTTGTTATAAACATATATTCTTTGTTCTTTTTTATATAAAATATATTACTGGTATTTTTACTATAAAAACTTATTTTCATACATTCATTGTGTTTTGTTTGGGGTTTGACTATTTACCCATTTAAGAGGTGATTCCACGTTCCTCAAAAACCTTACTGCCGGATGTAGGACATCGTCATAACCAGGACTTCACCGCTGTCAGAAAATACAATGGGGAACTAGAATATTAAACTGACAACAGAAAAAGAAGCCTTTTTAGGGTAAGAATATCATTAAAAGAGATATTCTCCTGAACGACAAAATGAATTCAGTTTTCTGTTGTACTTTTCGTTCGACTCGCGTGGATCCGAGTTAATAAAAACAAAAGTGCAGTTTCATAAAACGGGGAAGCGAGATAAATTATATGAATGGATAATCTCGAATTCCTTAGAAAATCGTGAAAGAATCGTGAATGTTCAACGAAGCCGTGAATATTTAGCTCTGACAAGGAAATAGGTTTAGGATAGATTGATGCGCGAGTCCAAAATGACACGCAATGGAACCACTCCCCCATTTTGTGCATTAGTCAACATTTTTGCATTAAATGTCTCCGGCTCTTTAAAAATGTATACAATAAAGCAGATTGAAATATATGACAAAATTATTAAATATATAGAGAGAGATGGGGAGAGCGGAGGAAGATGGGTAGAGAGACGATAAAGATCATAACAATAAGTAAAAACTATAATACCTTTTAGGAATATCCACCTCCTATACTATTTTATGTGTAGCGTACTTTCAGGATATAGACGACAATCGCTATCTACGACTTCCTTTCTTTTGTAGCCATCATCAATGCTTGTCCTCTTACTATTACTCCCATGGGGAGAAAGAGAGGGTGAGAGGGGTAGAAAGACGCCTAAAGATCATAACAATAAGTAAAAACTATAATACCTTTTAGGAATATCCACCTCCTATACTATTTTATGTGTAGCGTACTTTCAGGATATAGACGACAATCGCTATCTACGACTTCCTTTCTTTTGTAGCCATCATCAATGCTTGTCCTCTTACTATTACTCCCATGGGGAGAAAGAGAGGTGAGAGGGTAGAAAGACGCCTAAAGATCATAACAATAAGTAAAAACTATAATACCTTTTAGGAATATCCACCTCCTATACTATTTTATGTGTAGCGTACTTTCAGGATATAGACGGCAATGGCTATCTACGACTTCTTTTCTTTTGTAGCCATCATCGATGCTTGTCCTCTTACTATTACTCCCATTATGTGTTCTGCTATCCATTTACACAAGCACTCACTGCTTCACTTTCAAAACATCCTCTGGGTGTTAAATTATCAAAACTTTCTTTTCAAATGTTTCTTTTTCTTCTAAATACAAGCATTGTTTTGTTCCCATTTTCCTTAAAGGTTTCTCGTTACTTGCAGGATCCATTCATGATTTTCTCAGCAGAATTCCTGTAGAATCATATCTCTGGTTCCTCAAGTCTCATCTTCATCTGTGAGGAAATTGTCCGGTATTCACTGTCATATAGTAGGTTGAACACTCTTTTCTTTGTTTCTAACGAAATTTTCCTATATCTTATTACTTTATTTAGGCCTTAGAAGGCATCTTTCGTTCTTCCAATGAGCTTTCGGGTTAATGTGTCACATTTTCAGTCGTCTGCTATAACACTTCCCAGAGAGGTAAATTGATTCACTTGCTTAATTAATGACATCTTCAGTTCGTAGTTGACATCTTGAGCTGTCCCTTTTGTTAACGACCATACATTCTAGCAATTGATAGATAGCCCTTTCTTCGTGCTTTCCTTCGACCCATCTCTTATATGATAATTGAGCTTAAATACTGTAGCATACCTACAGACGATAATGTATATGTCCCCATTCACATAAATACAGTACTATATACTGTATATTGGTCTGCAGTCGGAGAGTCTTCTCCAGCTGTGCTGGTCAAACTCACTGGCTCCGGGTAGAGAGGGTCCCCAGACGAGACTATGTCGAAAGGCAGAGTCTCGTCTCAGGAAACAGCTACCTGACCCCGTTT